CACCCTGGTTGAATAAATAAGGCGATTTCGCCACAAGGTCGCGGAAAACCGACCGAAAACGGCCGCGCTCAACGTTAATTTGGGCATGCAGACTCTTAAAAACTCGCATTGGGCGGGTAGGGTTTCCCAGGTATTGGCTCCAAAACACCGTATTCGGCTCCCAAATACGTCCAAGTGACCCGCCTCGTTCCTAGTTAAGCTCTAATTAGATCAAGTGACTCATAAGGAGCAAAAAAGCGACAAAAAGCATGAATTTCCCTATGGCGGCGGGCTGCCGGGCTGCCAGACGGCGCACCGGCGCACTTTTGACACACCATGTGAGCCCCCAACCCTGTCCTTCTCCTCTCCCCAGTCCGCTGTGTAGGGTCGCTCGAGGTCACGTGGTCAACTGGGTTGTCTTCTCCAATGCACATTGTATTCGTCGATCGACCTTACACACCACCGTGCAGTCACATGTCTTCGACCCGACTTCCCTCCGTGCCGCCGCCGGGGCCGTGGCCGTGCTCCGGCCGTGCCCTGACCGGGCTCACCGGCTCTGACCCACCGGCCTCAGAGATCTGACACCAACTACCGGCTGGACGAGCCGCCGAGCGGCCTGCCGACCGACCGCTCCCGTATGGCAGCGGGCCGCCGCCAGCTGCACCACCAGACACCGACAACAAGCACCGACACACTGTCACAGCACATCCAGCAGCCGGCTTGTCTCGCTGTCAACCACGGGCACTCGCCTGTCCATCAACGCACTCACAAAATCAACTAATCACCCCCGCCTGTCCATCAACGCACTCACAAAACCAACTAATCACCCTCGTCTGTCCATCAACGCACTCACAAAATCAACCGGTCACCTCTCGTCAAATATACACAAAATAATACCGAGCTCACAACCATTCCCGTATTTATCGGAAAATCCCACCACAGCAGTCACCCCCGTTGCCGTCGTGTGGCCTTTCCGTTGCCGTGCGGAACGATTGTCGGCCCCCGTCGCTGCTGTGGCCAGCGGGCGGCTCCAGCACAGCGGCGAGCGTTACTGGCTGCAGCCGGTGTGTCCGTGCCCACAGCCGGGTGCAGCTGTTGGAGGCCGTGTTGGAGGCCAGTCTGACGTCACACCGTCGTGCCGTCCCAGTCCGTGTCAGTGTCCGAGTGACAGTGGTCTATATATATACAGTGTCAGCTGTGTCCAGCTGCTGGTGCTCCGACTGTCAGCTGAACTGACACACTGACACTGCAGCCCCTGACAGTGTCAGACCGGCCCCCGGTCAGTGTCAGCTGCCGGCACGGAGAGCGGTCCGGTGACACTCCCAGCTGCAGCCCCCTCCCCGTGGCTGGTGCCGCTGCAGTCTTATTGTGCCGGTGGTCAGCTCCATCAGATCCACCACAAGCAGCTGCCGCCACTCCTCTGCCGCCGCTCCGACACTCTGTTCCGGCAGCCGGGCACCAAACAGCTGCAGTGGCTAGCAGTGCATTCACTCAACATGGACACACCGCTCCGAACCTCTCGCCAGACCGACCCGTCTCGCCCGGAGGGGGCGGTGAGGGGGGCGCGGCGAAGGCGGCCAGAAGACGGCGCAGCCGAAGCCAATCAGCAGACGCTTCTGTGGCACACGCGCCAAGCACAGACCAATCAGCAGACGTCTCTGCGGCTCGCGCGTTACGCACAGACCAATCAGCAGACGTCACTGCGGCTCGCGCGTTACGCACGGACCAATCAGCAGACGCTTCTGCGGCTCGCGCGCCACGCACAGACCAATCAGCAGACGCCTCTGCGGCACGCGCGCAACGCACAGACCAATCAGCAGACGCCTCTGCGGCTCTCGCGTTACGCACAAACCAATCAGCAGCGCCTCCCGCGACTGGCTCGGGCCGGCCGCTGGAAAATGGCCGTAGAAAAGAGGCACACCCGCCGACACCTTAGGGCTGGTCAGTGGCGTTCGGTGGTGTGGTGGCAGCACGGCACGGGGTGGGGCCGGGATGACATGTCGTGGATGAGATGGTCTCCGAAACACCCGAGAAATCTGACGTCCCAGCCGTCCCCAGCCGGTACGTCCCCAGCCGTCCCCAGCCGGTACGTCCCCAGCCGGTACGTCCCCAGCCAGTACGTCCCCAGCCGTCCCCAGCCGGTACGTCCCCAGCCGGTACGTCCCACATTGATACATAGGTAGTTTGAACATTTACTTTTTTGTTCGTTTGGAAATACATTGTTTGGATATGCAAGATGACATGACTCGGTGTAAAATGTCACGGTCCCTGCAATACACAGTATGCCAGAGCGTTTTTCCTAACGCGAGCGGCCAGGAGGCGGTTGTATGACCCCCTGGCGATTGACTTATATGGCATCTAGAAACACGATATTTAAAGGGTAGGTAGTAGGAACTAGGTGGACCAATAAAAATGTCCCTCCAGTACAACATTGGTAAACCTTGGTGTTAGCGAGCAAATACGTTGGTAGTTTTAGGTATTTTTGCAAAGACGGCCGGCGCTCGGAGCGCGGCGGTCGGTCCGCCGCGCCGCGCCGGGCACATATGTGTCATCTGGCCCCTGTCCTGGTTCTCAGGCCCACGTGTTGTGCTACCACGAGGGCTGAGACGGGACGGGGGCCCGACAGTCTTCGACGGGATCCTCCGGTGCGCGACGGCCCGGTGCACGACGTGGCCGACGTGGCCTTACGTACGACGCGGCCGACGTGGCCCTACGAGAACGATTCAGTGAACGGCATTTGTGACCGCCGTATTTTGTGCATTTTAACCCTTCCATTTCATTCAAGAATAGACTTTTACTTATTTAAGTATAAAAGCTTTTCATTCCCCCCCTCCCGCTTAACCCTATTCCTGGCGGGCTCCGCCGGGACAAGAAACTGGCGGGGGGGGGGGGCCGATTCGGCCCCCCCTGAGATCTCGAGAACGAAGCAAGATAGCGACAAGCGGTAAACGGCATCGGATACGCACGGCCAAGATCTACAATTTTTACTAAGGTCATTTTCAGGTCAGGTCAAAGACGACGTCACAGGGGTCGAAAAAGTCAAAATGGCGGCACTAGATATGGAGAGAGTTTTTCTCGAATAACTTTCGAATTAGTCAAGATATGAACAAACTAAGGGCATCATCGTGATCCTCTCGTCAATCCGCATCGAATGATATATATGTTGACCTCGAAAGGTCAAGGTCAAAGGTTGACCTCAGGTCACGTGACCTCGAGGTCATCATGTATATCATTCGATGCGTCTTGACGAGCTGAACACAATGAGACCATCCACGCGTCTGTATCTTGTTCCTGTACGGAGTTATTGGCCAAAAACCTTTGGTGACCTTTGATGACGTCACATGACCTCACAGCTGCCCAACAGCAAAACAGACCTCAAGGTAGTGAAGGTTGATCGTATATGAAGTCATGTATGGTATATGGGGCCATTCCGACCCGTTTTAGTGGTAAAAACAGGGAGTTGATTTTTCCCCCATTGACTTATAATGGGGAGGTCGCGAAATTGACCTGACCTTAGGTCACCGATATCAAAATTCCGAGATATACAAATTGCACATACTGGTACCCTAACTAAACCCTGAAGAGAAGAAATTGATCGGTCAAAAACTCTAGCTCTGGCGTGATTGCAAACTTTTCTGAGGTAGCGTCACCAAACCGCCTCTGGTGACCTGACCTGAGGTCAGATCAACTCAAAATTTTCAGACATGTTGCGTAGAAGCCTTTTAGGAAAAGTCAGAAAATTTGAGCTTCCTAGCTCAACACGTTTGGGAGATATAACCAAAAAACCTCAGGGGGGGGGCTCCTGAGGCCCCCCCCCCGCCAGGAATAGGGTTAACCCGCGCACCGACGGGGGTCTGCGCCAACTTCGTACCGACGGGGGGGGGATGACCGCCCCCCTGAGATCTCGAGAACGGAGCAAGATAGCGACAAGCGGTAAACGGCATCGGATACGCACGGTCAATGTCTACAATTTTTACAATCGTCATTTTCAGGTCAGGTCAAAGATGACGTCACAGGGGTCGAAAAAGTCAAAATGGCGGCGCTTGATATGGAGAGAGTTGTTCTCGAATAACTTTCGAATTAGATTAGTCAAGGTAGGAACAAACTAAGGGCATCATCGTGATCCTCTCGTCAATCCGCATCGAATGATATATATGTTGACCTCGAAAAGGTCAAGGTCAAAGGTTGACCTCAGGTCACGTGACCTCGAGGTCATCATGTTTATCATTCGATGCGTCTTGACGAGCTGAACACCATGAGACCATCCGCGCGGCTGTATCTTGTTCCTGTACGGAGTTATGGGCAAAAAAACCGCTGGTGACATTTTGACATGAAGAGAGGATAGAGGAGCAGCTGTACGAAAAATCAGGCTTCTAGCTCTAACAATGTGGAGTGCAGAGCAGAAAGACTACCTGGGGGGGGAGGGTGGGTACCACCCCCCCCCATGTGCGGGCGAGGCTTAATCAATCTCCCCCTCCCCAACCCCTGGCCAGGCGAGGGATGAGATGTAGGTCCGAGCCCTCCATTTTGTCGAGATATCCACTGAGATCATAAATCCGCCTCTTCCATCCCTGCATATGTCTGCTGCTCACTATGGTTTATACCGCCGAGTTGCACGGGGTGTCCGGAGGGATGGGCGAGTTCCAGACGGCCGGGGAGGGGGAGGGGGGGGGTGCTGCACCGCCCTCCGGCCCGTGTTATCACGAATCCATGGTGGCTTGCCGCTGACGTCATCAGTCTGGAACGCCGCGCCGCCAGCTCACTGGACACGCTAGAGTCTCCTCGCTACGGGACAAGGCCCATTGGAACCCGGACATCCAAGTACTTGACGAATGTAGAGAGTTCCCATTTTATTTTATTGTTGTTGCTGACTAGCCTTTACGAGGCAACAGTCCACTTACATCAACAGTGTTCCATGAACGCCCCGGCTCGCCATTAGTTACAGTACGACGCCGGTGACCGGTAGGGGCGCTGCAGTCGCCCAGCGGCCCGAGGTCGACCGTAACCGGTACCATGACTCAGCGGCGCCCCGCCCCGGGGTAATTACATACTGCGCAGTTGCAGCGGTCCAGACCGGGACAAAGGCCGACGGAGCCGCACGAGCTGCACTGCGTCCACCGGCCGGTTCAGTCGACAGAGCGGGTGGTCCAACAGTGTGTGGACGGTACTGAGCTCTGTCCACCGGAGCCGACCACGGCGGAGGCGGCGAATATCAGGTGAGCAGGACCGACCTGTGTGTGTGTGAGGGGGGGGGGGTCTGTGTGTCCCTGTGTCTGTTGTTGAGTGTGTTTTGTGCGTCTGTGTCTATAGTCAGACAACATGTGTTTTTGTAACGGTTTGTATGTGATTCTGTGATACTTTGTGTGTCTTCTCTGCGTGCTAGATACCCGTCTGAGAGTTTGGATGTCTGTGCTTACATCAACATGCACCCTCGCCCCCACATGCCATTTTCCCATCCTAGAACGCACATGGGGGGGGGGGGGGGGGTTGCCACCCCCCGCGCCATTTCGCTCCTGTTGGAGATAGAGCTTAGCGGTAAAGACCAAAAAGATTCTTTGGGAAGAGACAAATCCAATGATACCCAGTTTTACCTTCTCAGGTCAGTCATTGACCTTCCTGGTCAGGTCAAACTAAAAAATGTTGCTGTTTTGGGTCACCCTTGGATATCAAGTGCGCTGCTTATCATTTACCGATGACGATGCCGTTTTCTGGTGCCAAGCCAGCTAGAACCTCTTTATCCCGGCAGTTGCTGGGGTATTTCGCCACCCACCGTTTGCTGGGGGGGGGGGGGGGGGGCGTTAAACGCCCCCAGCCGATAACTCGAGAACCAATAGGCGCAGCGAAACGCACGAGGCGGCAAACGAAAGAGCGCGACGAGACGCTTCAGATGAGTACTTTAAAGTTGAATTTTGAGGTCACAGGTCGGGTCAAGGTCAGGTCAAACACCTGAAATCGGGCTTTCAGTAGCATGGACTTCAGGACTTCGCAATGGGCGCCTCTCGTCATAAACTCTGTCCACACGGTGCACAATCCATCATATAAGGCCTACAAGAGTGTCAGCTCCATGTAGGGGTCAGTCAAGCATAGGTCAGGGTCAAGGTCAGGTCAACCGGGTAGGCACATATCCCCGAAAATCAAAACTGATATTCGCAGCCTGTGACACATGTTTTATAGGTAATTTGGGGCGTAGAACACGATGGTGACATTCAGTGACGTACCCAAGGGGGGGGGGCACGGGGGCCATGGCCCCCTCCTGAGCGCCGAAGGCGCTCAGGGGGCCCCTCAGGCCCCGGTATATTTTTTTCAAACACTAGATAAAACGTCTTTTACTAGGAAGAAAAAATGATATCAAAGTTTCATTTATGTGCCCCTGGTTACCCGAGGGGCCCCTGATGACCCAATGGGCCCCTGCAGTCATCCGAGGGCCTCCGGTTTCCTGGCCCCTGGTCGCCTAGGGGGCCCCTGGTAGCCGGGGCCTGGTCGCATGGGGGCCTCTGGTCGCATGGGCCCCTGATCGCCTGGGGCCCCTAGTCGCCAAGGGGGCCCCTGGTAGCGGGGCCTGGTCGCATGGGGGCCCCTGGTCGCCTGGGCGGCCTGGGGCCCCCCGGGTGACCTAAGGGCCCCTTCGGAAGCAGGTGGCCCCCTCCTGGGCGAAATCCTGGGTACGTGCCTGGTGACATTCATTATATCATATGTGTACGTGTTTGGCTCAAAAAGTTCAATTTAAGAAATGCATGTATCATGGTCGTGAAGCAGTCACGAAAAATTGCCAAGATTCAATTCAAGATTATGGAAAATGCGGAGCGATAATCAATAATCGAAGACAGCCATTTGATTTATCATGGTATTGGCAGTCTAATGGCGTTTACGGCATGTCTTTATGTCTATTTTGTGATTTTATATGATTTTTTTAACATATGCCATTTTTGGTCGAAAACTCAGAAATAATGACGTCACTAAAACCTCAAAATCTAAAAAATTTTCCGACCGATTTTTTTTTAAACTTTGTCACAATAAACTTCAATCAATTCCCTACAGGTGCCCATAATTTTGCGCGCCTGCGGCGCGCCGTTTTTATGCTATGGCCCGGCAAAAAAAGTGGGGGCGTTTAACGCCCCCCAGCAACTCGCGGGTTATCACACTACCCGACCATATTTTTGCTGCTGAGGATATTTCAGGTCAAGCTAGGTCAAGGTCAATTATATGTGTTTGTATGTCTGTGTGTGTCTGTGTGTATACTGATGTGTGGAACGATTGTTTATGTGTCCATATTACATGAAATCATGATCTGAGAAGCTTTTACCAAAAATGCAGTCAAAAAACTTCACAAAAAGTAAATTCAGCTTGCCTAAAACGCAATTACCTTAGATGACCTAGGTTGACCTTGACCCTGACCTTGACACCTGTACATCGTCGAACAGCATGTTCCATGATAGGTGGGAGGTAAGACTGGCAAAAAAAGACCGAAATCAAGGTGTCAAAAGCTCACAAGGCCCATAGCAAACGCAAGATGTTGAGAATTGGCCATTTGGGTCATGATATGACCTGAAAAACAAGGTCATATCTCCGAAACCGAAAATCACAGAAACCTGAAATTTTTAGTTGACATCAAGAAAGGATAGAGGAGCAGCTAGCTATACGAAAAATCAGCCTTCTAGCTCTAAAAGTGTCGAGTGCAGAGCAGAGAGACTACCTGGGGGGTGGCAACCCTTCCCCCCATGTGCGGGCGAGGGTTAAAGGGACCCTCCCGGCTCCCACCTTCAAAAAAGTTTATGAATTGGCTTGAAAGTGATGTCGCTCGGTTCAGTAAGAGCGAAAACGAATATCTACCAAATTTCACCAAAAAATATTCACCGGTTTTCAAGATATTAGACGTTTACTTTTGTTAACACGCGCAGTGGAAGGGTTGCGAGTACTACGCCCAGTGGAAGGGGGGGCGGATGTCGCCCCCCCCCCCTAAGATCTCAGCTCCCACTGGAGCTAGAAAGACGAAATTTGGAGGGTAGGTGGAGGCCATGGGGAACTCTGTTGTGTGTGAATTTCATGACCCTAGGTCAATATCTTCAAGGTCAAATGAGGTCAAATGTGGTCAAATCTGCCACATTTGCGACTTTTTTGCGTTTACACGCCGATAACTCAAAAACTTACCGGCCGATTTTCTTTTTTCTTTCACTATACGAAAGATCAAACCTTTGTGAGTATGTATGGTGAATTTCAAGTTAATCCAACAATGAATATGGCAGTTAGAAGCCTTCTAAGGGTAAGATGTCGCCGGCTGAAGCGGGATCGGCCGACGCGGGAAACGCGGCAATCACAATTTTGTGTTTACACACTCATAACTCAAGTTGTTACCGGCCGATTTTCAAAATTCTTTGACCATATGATTGCCTGTACATTTCTCAGTCTTCTCACCAAATTTGACGCGAATCTAATTTAATCAGCGGTAAGGAGCGCGATGTAAAGACGGTACCGTCCCGCCCCGGCACAGTCTACAATTCAGGCGGCGCGTAACGGCTAGCGCCGGCCGCCGCGCCGCCGCGCCGCCGCCGCGGCAGGATGTTTGACTTTACACCGCTGTTACTAGAAAAGTTGTGAACCGATTTTCTTATTTCTTGCACGAGAAGATCCGCAATTCAATTCTAGACAGGTAGCCAAAATTTCACATTAATATTATGTTTGCGGCGCGAGTTATTGGCGAAAAACAGGAGGGGTGGGCGAAATCCGCCCCCCCTTCCACTGCGCGTGTTAATTTTTGGGATCTCCGCTGTTCCTAGCGACTTTATTTGAAAGCAATAGTTTGGCAGCTGAAAGGGCGGCACTTGTTGCGCGCAAAGTAGCATATACCACCGCGTGCTACAAAACGTTTTAGTCAAACATTTAAATTCGTTAGATATCTGCACTGACGTCACACATTCAGAGGGGTATTCCTATGCTCTGAATCAAAATGCTGCAATTTTGACATTCAATATTTCCGATTTAAGGCATTTCTCGATGTTGTGAGTGCCGAAACCGGTAATTGTGAGCCAGGGACCCCATTTTGGCTATCTCAGCTCAAATCTAATGTTAACCCGCGCACCGACGCGACGGGGGGGCGGATATCCGCCCCCCTGAGGTTTTTCGCGAATAGCGGGAAAACCGCGGCGCGTAGCGCCGCGAAATTTGGTACGAAAAGTGGTACGAAATTTTGGTGCGAAGTTGGCGCAGACCCCCGTCGGTGCGCGGGTTAACCCGCGCACCGACGCGCCAACTTCGCATCGACGGGGGGGGGGGGGCGGATGACCGCCCCCCCCCCCCCTGAGATCTCGACGAGAACGAAGCAAGATAGCGACAAGCGGTAGACGGCATCGGATACGCACGGTCAAGATCTACAATTTTTACAAAGGTTATTTTCAGGTCAGGTCAAAGATGACGTCACAGGGGTCGAAAAAGTCCAAATGGCGGCGCTTGATATGGAGAGAGTTTTTCTCGAATAACTTTCTAATTAGTCAAGATAGGAACAAACTAAGGGCATCATCGTGATCCTCCCGCCAATCCGCATCGAATGATATATATGTTGACCTCGAAAGGTCAAGGTCAAAGGTTGACCTCAGGTCACGTGACCTCGAGGTCATCATGTACATCAGTCGATGCGTCTTGACGAGCTGAACACAATGAGACCATCTGCGCGGCTGTATCTTGTTCCTGTACGGAGTTATTTGCCAAAAACCTTTGGTTAACTTTGATGACGTCACATGACCTCACAGCTGCCCAGCAGCAAAGCAGACCTCAAGATAGTGAAGGTTGATCGTATATGAAGTCATGTATGGTATATGGGGCCATTCAGACCCGTTTTAGTGGTAAAAATGGGGAGTTGATTTTTCCCCCATTGACTTATAATGGGAATGTCGCGAAATTGACCTGACCTTAGGTCACCGATATCAAAATTCCGAGATTGACAAATTGTAGCTACTAATGATCTTATCACATCCTGCGACTTTCAAAGGCCTCCGACATTTACTGTAGCTCTGGCACGGTGACAAAGTTGCAAAAAAGTGACTTGAGGTTGGGTCATTCAAAGTGACCTGGTGACCTGACCTTAAAAGGTAGGAGGTTCAAACTTGCACGCCATGTGTAAAATTGATGAGGGAATAGTCGTAGTAAATTTCGCGGCGCTACGCGCCGTGGTTTTCCCGCTATTCGCGAAAAATCTCAGGGGGAGGGGGCGGATATCCGCCCC